CTATCATGAAAGCTGTCACTTCAGGCACCTTGCCCACATGCCAGGCTTCCCAAAATTGCCAGCATTGAGCACCAGCCATGGGAGGGAAGGCATCAAGAGACAGACACAGGAGGAGCAGCACTGGGGTGCCTGCGAGCATCCCAACCAATGTGCCATGCTCCCTCCCCTAAGTACCGATGTACGTGTCCTTGCCATCATCCCCATTTTCCTACTCTTCACCTAAATCTGCTTCTGCCCTCTCACTGTACCCAGGGGTTTACACCCACAAGTGCTTCTTGCTCCTCAGGGAAGGTCTCTGAGGTCTCCTGCAAGGGGGGCCAAGTGGCCTCATGTGTGTGAGCAGCACTGGACCTGTTCACTCCCAGTCAGCAGAAAGTGGATGAAAGGATTTTCCAGGAGATTTAAGACTTATTTGAGAAATGATGCTTATTTTCTTGCTAGAAAACACACACACCTTCGAGGTCTGCCTCCCATTAGCGATCATCAGCAACAGAAACAGAGAGACCAAACGAGCGCCTGATTAATAAATTAGCTTCCCCCACCGCAAAGTCATTCCCGTCACCTTACAAAAACCTCTTTTTTTTTTTGCACCAGGCGTGCCAAAGCAGCCTGGCAGCAGCCAGCCCTGCTCCCATTAGCGTTGTGTAATTAACCTCGAGCAAAACAAGCCCACGAGAGCCAAACGGCGACTACACAGATTGAGGAGTTTGGACGCTTCCTAAAGGGCTCACGCTAAGCCCCACGAACCAGTCCAGGCTCTTGCAGCTCTCCCATAAATGATTTTTAGCATGAGGAAAGGGGAGATCCTGACACCCATCCATGGCTCAGCATCACCCCAAGAACCCTGGCTCCCCATATCCTCGCTGCCCAACCTGCAAACACTGCTTGTTACCTCTCCAATTTTAATAATTTGGGAGCTGGAGCATTAGGAGAGCAGTCCAGATCCTTTCTGACCTTTGGGGATCCATCCCCTCTTAGAAACAGGGTCAATAAAGACCCCTCAGTGCCCTAAGATTTCTTGTGGGGAGACATCTCTCAGCTTCCCTATGCACGCAACCACAGCAAGTCACGGCTTGTTTTTAAAACAAAGCTTTTTTTTTCATCCTGATAAAGTCCAGATGCTCACTTAAAACTGCGGTTACCACAGAAATGTCCAGGGAAATGCCTCCTGCCAAGTGCAGAGCTCCTGAGCTGCCCAAAGATTTCACAAAACCAAGGCAAAGGAAAAAAAAACCCCAACCTGGCTCAAAATGAAACTCTTGAAAAGCAAAAAAAAATACATTTAATACAAATCAGCAGAGAACGACCAAGAAATAATCCACTACTTCTAATTACACAGCACAACGCAGTTGAACAAAGCCACCTCCTCATCCCACACCCAGAGAAGAGGCCCCCACCTTCACAAGCAGCTTCTGGCACATTGGTAAAAAGCATTAAAACCCCATTTTTACTCACCGCAGCTCAGCCGCTCCCCTCCAGCGTCCTCCATTGCCCTCGCACTGCAGCCAAAACCCATCAGCACCCACCTGGTACCCAGGGATGCTGATAGGGCCCCCACCCACAGGTGGTTCCCATCACCTTCCTCATTGGGACATCCCAGGCAGCACCTGTGGGGGCTGCACCCACCCTGAGGTGCTGGTGCTGGGTCAAGCCCTTAAGGTGGAGAAAATGTGTTAGGATGTGTTTCCACCAAGCCTGCACATCAGAACAGGGCAGCAGGGACTGTTTTCCCTTCTGGCTGTGTCCCTGTCCCAACTTATCCCATCCCACCTCACCCCTCTGGGCTTCTTCATACCCCTCTTGCCCAAATCCCTCTATCCCCACAGCACCTTCTCCCTCCACACCATGGAGGCAGGCCAGGGGGACTGATGCCCCTGCAATAGTCAGAATTGGGGCTAAAGCACACATAGGGTAAAAAAGGATGGGTTTCTACTTGTCAAGAGCTACCAGAATATGGAAGAATGACCATAAATACCCCGAAATGTTTTTCACCCTGAGTACAGGCAGGAGCCATATTCCCAGTTTCTGGCCACAGACCCTCACCCACCAAACCTGGGTGGCAAACCTCCTTATGACAGCCTCCAGAATGATCCCACGGGACAAAGCAGCCCCCAAAGCCTCCCATCTCCTTGTGGGTACGTCTCTTCAGCAGACGGTATTGACCGTTGTCCCATTGGAGCCCCCTGAGGCCACCCCACCTTTTACAGCACTGTCCTTGATGTTCTTCTCCGAGACTGAAACAGGTTTGTGTCTCTCGTGCCTGGTAATGGCTTTTTCAAGGCCCCTGAGGCACAACTGCACGTCCTCCCGAAAGGAGGGGGTGTAGAGTCCGTAAATGATGGGGTCGGTGCAAGTGTGCAGCAAGCCAAAGAGAAAGAAGCTGTGGTTGATGTACTCCGGCATCTTCTGAATCATGGCTGGCTGGAACCAGTACCACAGGCCCAGGAGGTAGTACGGGGTCCAGCAGATGATGAAGGTGGCAACAATCACTATGGTCATCTTTAGAGTCTTCATGCGTGCCTTGGAGATGTGGTCATTTTGGTTTCTTATCAAACCTGCCAGGGAGAATCAAAAGGAGAGCTGGAAACGGGAGAAAACCAGGACAACATGACCATCCATGACCATGCTTCTGCCAGAGAGAGGAGACCATCTCATGGGCTGCTCCATGGCCCACAGGAAGCAGAAGACAACAAGGAGGGGGGCCAAAAACTTTGTACAAAACCCCTTATTTGGGTTATCCCTCAAAGGACATTGAGACAGACCCTACAGTGCTGGAACAGGGTCAGTCACAGACTTGTGGTAGACACCCAAGACTCATGGTAGACACCCAAGACTCATGGTGGACACCCAAGGGCTTGGGATCCGCTTACCTTTATTGACCTTTAGCTGCTTACTGATCTCGCAGATGATCCGGACGTAGCAGACGACCATGACGCTGAGGGGGGTGATGTAGAGAGTGGTGAAGGTGAACATGTTGTAGACCGTTTCCTCCCAGTGCGCTCGGAAGCTCCCGTGAGTCACGCACTGGGTGAAATTCCCACCTGGGATCGTGTGCAGGTGGAAGAGGAAAAGCTGAAATGGAAAAACAAATAATAACTCAGAGCAGTTTTGGAGCAAGGCACCACGTCCTGCCACCTCCCTGCCCCTGTCAGACTGCTGTGGGTACCCAACTCATGGCTGCAGCCAGGACAGATGGGATCTGACGGCTGCAAAGTCCCATTTTCTGGCCATAATGAATGGTATTTTGGCCAGGAACCGCTCAGGTTTGTCTTGGTCTGCCCCAACATGTTTTGCAGTGGTGCAGTGATGCATTTTTTAGAATATAACCATGTGAACAAGGACTAAAAAATAGTGGATATAATTTTTTCCCAGCCTTTAGCGTAACGCACTGATGGTGTTGCAGTGAATGCGTGCTGTAAGGACCTGCTTTGCTGTCCTGGTTTACTGGGACAGCATCTGAGAGTCAGTTTTTCTGACAAAAACTGTGATTTTGTAAGGTCTGCAGCACTATTTCATGAGAACAAAGTGCTAAAACTTGGTTCAGTTTTTCAGCTAAAGCTGCTTTGCAGGTTGCCATAGTGATCAAGGTCTTTACAAGTTTTGAGTTAGCCTGGTCAGCCAAGCTAGGGGGTGCAAAAGCCAAGGAAGATGAGCCAGGCTGACCAATTAATAGTAACCTATACCATAAACCATAAACTGGGGAGTTTGCTGGGGACAGCCCTCCCTTCCTTCTTCTTCTTCCTCCTCCTTCCCTCTTCCATGGCTGACATCTCAAGAGGAACTTGTTTATCATCCTACCCCTGAGGCCTACTCCCCCATCATATCAGCTAAGTATAACTCTGTGTATTTTCTGCTATATTAGTTTTTATTATTATTTTATTAAGTTTATATCTATTTCAACCCACAAATCTTTCTTTTTCCCGATCCTCCTCCACAGGTGGGGAGGAGGCACCGGGTGATGGAGCGACTGTACAAACCACAACACCCACTCAGCAAAGCCAACCCGGCAGTGGTGGGGCCCATGGATTGGGATGGACTCATTGGGGCTTCTGAGATGGGGAAATTCTTCACCAAAACCCCCCCAGCCTGGGCAAACCACATGAGGAGGGCACCAGGCCCTACCTGGGGCAAGGCCAGGAGGATGCTGCCGGCCCAGGCGGCGCGGAGCAGCATCCCGTTTCGTCGGCGAGCACGGGTGCGGGGCAGCATCCCGTTTCGTCGGCGAGCACGGGAGAAGGGATGGAGGACGGCCGCATGGCGGTCCAGGCTGATCACCACCAGCACCAGAGCGGCCGCGTACATGGCGAAGAGCTTGAGGAAATTGAGGAGCTTGCAGGAGACGTCCCCTCCGTACCACTGCACCGTCACGTTCCAGGCCGCGTCCAGGGGCATCACCGCCACCGCCACCAGCAGGTCGGCCACCGCCAGGCTGAGGATCAGTGGCTGCACGTGGGATTTCCTCCTCTTCCTCAGCAGGCTGCCCAGCACCGCAGCGTTGCTGCCCGCCGCCAGCAAGAAGAAGACGGCCGTGACGACCACGCGGACCCTCGCCGCCTGCGTGAACCTGGGCTCGACCCAGTGCTCGGGGTGGCCGGAGGTCGAGATGTTGGTGTCCCCCTCAGCAGCGGGGCATTGGGAGGATGCGGGGAGCCCTTCGTCACTCATCCTCTGCCAAAACACAAGCAGCAAAGTCAACCCCCTTGTAGGGGCTGTGTCATGGGCTGCAGCTTCAGTATTAGGAGAAATAGGGAGATGGTGGGACCTACATTGGTGACAGCAGCAGCAACCTGACAGTTTTGACCTGTCCCTGTCTGTCCCCTTCGTGTTGCCCATTTTGCTGCACTCCCCATTGCGGTGACGCTGCCCGGCTGCCCTCCTTGGCTCACCCCTGCCGTAGCTATAGCAATGGCTCGCACAGACACATATTTTTAGCTTTTTATGAGGCCATTGAGCAGCTGGGAAGTGGGAGCGGTGGCCAGGACCACGGGATGAGCCGCACCCCACCAGTGCCCGGTCAGGAATGGGTCACACTGGAGCTGGCTGAGCCGGTGCTGGGTGCAAGGGCTCATCCTTCCAAAGGGGCTTTGCAAGCAGAACTCAGCTTTTTAAATACAAAAAAAATCAAAAAATATAGCACTTTCTGTCAGTGTGTTAAATCTAACAACTTGTATTTCAAGGGCAAATGCTTTCAACTCTTGGGACATGAGCTGTTAGCAGTCCCAGCCACGAGTAAGGAAGCTTTCTTATGGCTTTAAGCACCTTCTGGTTTGCTGATACCGAAATAAAGCATCCCCTACCTTCGCACAAATAACGAGCAGCAGAGATCAAATCTGTCTCCCAGCTCTGTAGGATGGAGATGCTGACATTGTGCCTAAAGCTGCCCTCCTCCAGCCCCACCACCCTTACCCCCTCCCTCCCCAAAAATCAATCCAAGAAGCAAGCAGCAATAAGAAAGAGCAGTTTAAAAAGTACCGAGCTGCTTGCTGGCTCTCTAGAAACGAGGAGAAACCCATGTCAAGGTCTGGATTTGTCCCAGCTGATGGGAACGTACCTGGCATACGCATGCCCTGATGCTCAGAGAAGATGCTCCTTGTCTTTCCTCACCGCAGTGCTGAGTCCGGATGCTCCAACTCGTCTTTGCATCACATCCCTGCACCAAACCCCTCGGAGCAGCCGAATTTCCCTTTGCCGACAGCCGAGCCGGCAGCTCCGCTGTTTGTAGCGCAGGCGGCTGCAGGCACCTGGAGACGGCAACGCTGATGCAAACACCCCCTGCACCGGCAAACCAGGAGCAGCACACACCGAAGTGAGCACCCACGGGCAGGGTGTTTCATCCCCAGGCAGGGGCCAGCACCCCTGCACTCATGGGCTTAATGAGCTGCCTGATTTCAGGCTTAATGAGCTGATGATATGGCACGAAATGGCCAAAATTCAAGATGTTGTGGCCAAATGTGGCCCTGTCAGGGCTAAGTGCCAGCACTCCCTGCATCGGTTTTCTATAAATACAGGAAAATGAGTTAATTATCCCTGGAGTTAGTGATGAACATCTCGTTGCTTGGACAACCAGGAGGCTCACAGCACACACACACCCCCACCCAGCGATGCTCTGGGACCACACAGGTCTGTGGGAGCATCACAGATGAACACAGGTACCTGCCTGGGCTGGAAACGCTGTAAGGAGGGAATCAATAAGGAGAAACTCGGGTCATTTTGCTGTTTTAATGAATAAATATCATTTTTTCTGCACGCTATCAGTTCCCACCTTGTTCTTTTTGTATTTCTTTCAGCATAACACAGTGAGAGCTCCATGTGCTGTGTGAAACCCTGGGAGGGACAAAGAGCTCACGAGAGCTTAAAAAATCCAATGGGCGATGCAAGGGCAGGGAGGGGACAGGAGGACACCCCACACCCCCGGTCGGCACAACTAAAAGAGCTGTGGGGTGACACAGGGACAGCCCCAAGCCCCACAGGGACCAGTGCTGGCAAATGTGCTCCCAGGGGCATCACGGGGACTTTAATTACGTGCAAACAAATCTTAGCATCTCCTGGTCTATTAAATTAAGAAGTAATGCCATACAGAGGGGCTGCAGGTCCCAGGCTGGTGGTTGTTGCCTGAGAGGAGAAGGTTCATTCTCTGGGATAGGTTTTTGGTCATTAAACCCATTCCTTTACACATGGGATGGGACCATCCCTGTCACCTCCTTACCTGGGGCATCGCCCGCTGGCACCATGGGAGTGACCCTGGTCCCTGAGGGGGTGAAAAAGGCCCAAAACCCACCAAAAAGTCGGGTGGAAGCCTGTTTACGACAGCAACCACCTCCTTCTGGTGCTAGACTCCTGCTTAAAGCCGAGATTAACTCAGCCCCACACACTCAGCCGTATTTTTCCTTTCATTCAGCTCTTTGCACCTGCACGAAAGCAATTAAATAGCGAGTCAGGAATGCGTTCCGTGTTTGTGCTGCTTCCCGGCTGGCTGCCTTTTTGTCTAGAAATGTCCTCTCCATCCCCAGCCGGGTGATGCAAGAGAGGGACAGGATTTTTGTTAGGAACTGTAACCCTTGCTCATGCCACAACAAAGCCCTCGGTCCCTGCTCAGAGAGGATTTTTTTAGCATGCCATCACGCAGAAATGTCCTGGGCATGCATTAGCAATAAGTCGTATTTTAAGGGTGGGGTCCCTTGTTAAAATGACTCTTTTTCTCTGGCATTTGCACAGTAACCCCCTTGTGTTTTCTCCTTTTTTTCCCCTCCTCTCAAAGGTCAGCTTGCATGCTGTCTGCTCAGCAGCCTTCAGCTGAAGCTCCAAACGCTGGTTTAACCATCAGAGGCTTTCGGTCCCCAGGATTAGGAAACAGCGCTGGCAAGCGGGGCTTGTTTCCATACACCCTGCTCTTTCCGAAATCCCCTCCTTTTTGGGATGCTGCCCCAGTACATCCCTGGAGCTGCAGGTCATGAGGACTCGGAGCACCTCCAGGCTCCCCAAATAGGACTTTTCTCCCCAAATCCATACAGATCATCCCAAAACACCTGAGAAAACAGAAACCAGAAAGCCAATGGCGTATTTTTTCACGAGCAGAAGTACAAGCCCTGTGTTTTTCCATCGGACATCCCCTATAAATTGGGATCGCATGCAGGGAAAGCAACACAGAACACAATTTCCATTAACCTCGTGCAAACCTGCTGCTGTTTATCCTAATAAATCACCGCCAGAGTCTTGGCTTCACAAAAGAGAGAGAAAAATTTGTATTTTCACCCCTGCTGCTGGGCATTACAGGAGGGGAAATGATGGATCTCACCCCAGCAGAGCCATCCTATGGCACCCCAGCGCCCTCAGCCCAGGCAGGTGCTTCTGCCAGCAGCTTGTCCAAAAATTCCTCTTTGCTCAGAAAAACCTCATGATTTCACAGCTTTTAATGCTGATTTTTTTTTCTCCTTCAATATCCTCCTCTTCCAAGCCTCGAATTGTCTCAGGAGCAGCTCGTCCAAGGAAATTTTTGTCTCATACTGGACTCGAAACAGCAAGTCTAGTCAGGGACATCTGACATGCGGTGTTTTTGTGAGTAAATACCAGCATCCATGAAGTCATTTCCCGGGGTTAGAAATGAGCTCACCTCTGGAACGGCTCCTCTTCTTACCCAAAGTTCACAAGTAGTCAAGCAGTTGTGAAGCTCCCAATTTTCACCCTTCTCATTAAAATAGCAGGGGTTGCGTGTGGCGCGGTGCCTCCTCCGGCTGGATGGGGCTTCACCCTAAACTCCTCAAAATCTCTGCAGCAAAAGGCAGAGGAGCAAAGCTCAGCAGGGCCGAACCAGCGGCTCATTCTGCCTGCTCAGCCAGCCCTGGCCGCTCTGCCCAGCTTGCCAAGAGGGACAATAATTGTTGTCCCTCCTGGGGATAATCTGGGTCACTCCATCCCCCTGCTGAAAGTCCTCATTGAAAGCAGAGGGAGGGATTTCTTCTGCCCTCTGGGTTCAATATTTTGGCAAACGGAGTCTTTGGGTCATTTCTTGGTGAAATTGTGGAGTCTCCTTCTCTGGAGACATTCAAACCCGCCTGGATGTGTTCCTGGGTGATCTCCTCTGGGTGGCCCTGCTTTATCAGGGGGGTTGGACTGGGTGATCTCCAGAGGTCCCTTCCAACCCCTACCATGCTGTGATTCTGTGAAATAAGGTGGTGTTTCTGATTCGGCTGCATAAATCAAAGCCTTGCTAGAGACCTCGCTGGTAAAAGCCCATCTCTGGAGGGTATCATGCCATTGGGCAGCGATGCTGAGCAAAACACGCTCTTGATACTCAAACCTGCTGCATTTCCCATCTTTTAATGCCCTGGCTGGTGCTTCTGGTGTTGCTGAGCCCAGCACATCATGTTGGATGTCCCATGGACCCAGCCAGGATGGTGTGAAGGACAAGGAGCCCAGATGGCCAGAGCATCATTTCCAGAGGTTCCCCAAATCTACATCTTCCCATGCAGAGCAGCACATTATTTGGGGTCTCACCAGCATCGTGATGCTCCTGTCCCAGTAAACCAGGAAAATAGGCCCTGGGGTTGATGGAGTGGCCATGGGTCCCCTTTGGTTCTTGCATACATCAATCCAGCCAGGGCTTTTGCTGCCCTAACTGGGTATTTTTCTTGAGCTGGAAAAAAATGATGAAATCTCAATGTTTTCATTGTGACTAACCCACAGAAGCGAACAATTTTGCCCTTGTTTTTTGGATGGGGTTTAGTTGCTCTCCTTGTCTTTGCCTTTCATGCCCTCTTTTATCCTCTGCGTTTTTTCCACTCCCTATGGGACCTGCCCATCGCATGGCTCCAAACATCAAACGTCCTCCTCTCGCCACGCTCCCGAATTGGACTGTGTGTCCCAAGACTGTATTTCAGTGCTCCCTTTGGATGCTCCTTCCCAAACATGGGCCAGACTCGAGGACTGGTTTCTCCATTTCACTGGGGTGAGACATGGGGAGAGCCGAAAGCCCCATGGGACCTCAGCAGCATTACATGGGGCTTGCAGAAGCAAGAAGCAAGGAAAACCTCCCCCAGCACCTCTTTCCCCTGTACTTGGTATCTCTGAGCAGTTTTCCAGGCCTAAAACCACCCTTGGGTGAGCTTCAAGTGGGACACAACTCCTTTTAGGAAAGGATCAGTGGCTTGGTGGGTAGAGATGCCATTCATAGTGAATTAAATGAGTTAGAGGAACACTATTTCTGCTCCCCAATCCTGTTTTTACCCTCCTACAAGAAGCCGTCTCCTGGGACCACAAAACCCCAGTGTCCCTTGGGATGAGCATCAGCACTGACATCTTCCCCTGGCCAGATTTGGCCTCTCAAAGGGGTGTTTTTGGGAGGCAGAAGTCAATCCGATGCCAGCCCTTCTCTCCAAACACCACACCCTGCTGGCAGATGTGCATCTACCCTCTGGAGAAAGTCGATACGGCCACGACCCGGGGAATCCCAGCAGCGCCCAAATTAGCTCGGCACAGACCGGCTTTTCGGAGCATGCCCTCGGCTCCATGCATGAGGTTGTGAGGTATTTTACAGCTCTGGTCACTCCCATGACGGCTCCAGGGAAGGGGAGGCATTTCCATGTCCTTTTTCGCTGTCATGGATGCTGGAAAACTCTTTTCGGAGCTGAAACTCGGAGGCGGATCAGCCCCAATTACCCCAGGCTCAGCTCTGGGTTGCTCAGTGGATTCAAACCTGGGGTGCTGGGAAATGCTCATGGGTCATGCAGGATTTTGCTGATTTTTAGGAAAAACTACCCATTGCTTTGCTGGTGTAAATCAGCTGCAAACCAGCTTACCTTGACATGGCCTATAGCCAAAAAATTGAGGAGGAAAAGGCACAGATGAGACCAGGGACTGCCACCCCATCTCCACCAGCCCGGAAAGCACCCAAGCCCATGGCTAATGCCTGTAAATAAGAGTTATAAATTAAAGATTTCTTCAGGAGCAATTAATTGCCCAGGGCAAGATGTGCTTTGACACAGGATGGTCTTTGTCCACCAAACCCCCTCCAGAGCTAAAGCAAACAGCTGTGGGTTGGAGCTCTGCTCCTGCTTTTCCCCTGTGGCTTAAATGTCCCCATTGAGGCGCTGCCCTGGCTCAGACCTCGGCACGATGCCATCGCACCCGTTCACATCCCGTGGCCGTGTTCCCATCACTGATCCCGGGTTGGGCAATAATTCGGGCCCCAGGATGTTCCTGGCAAATATTGGTGTGGCACCGGGATGGTGCCCTGCAAACGTCCCTGAGGAGGTGATGCTCGGTGCAGGGAGAGGCTGGGACACGCATAGCTCTTGGAGGGCTCAAAAATCATGGCCTTATCCATCTTGCAGAGTTTCTAAACAAGCCAGAATGCTTATCTTAATTACTCCAGCTCAGCAATGTAATGAAAAAGGGATTCGCACTGTGGGTCCGGATGTGGGGCCGTACATGTGCAGCAGAGATGCAGGTAACAGTCCCTGTGCACTCAGGTAACAGCTGTGCCCGGCAAAAGCACCAGGAAAAGCCCTTCTCCTTGACAGATGTGATCACAGAGCAGGGGACACCCCTATTTTACATACTGGGGGTGTCAGTCACATTGTGCCAGTGTCAGCAGACATTTGGGGGCTCACCCCATGGCCAAATCCCGTGAGCAGCACGGCCGCTTGCCCTCCCCTACCTCCCAGCCATTTCTCCGCTCCAGAAGATGCCTTCCCAACCTAAAATCAGCCTTTCCCTGTCTCCTGCCTTTCACGGCATCCCCCCTCTGCGGTGCTTTTTGCATCTGTTTTGTAAATGATGTACATGGAGCTGAGCACTGCTGAGCCACGGTCCAGGCTTCAGCTCCAAAGCAAAACGGGGGAGGGGGGGGAAGTCCACTCGCTCCTTTTCTCCCAGTCACAGCCTGTAAATCCTCATCCGCACAATAAAAACAAACTCCAGTAGTTCATTTTTTGGGCTCTTTCCCAAAGCTTTTAGGCAGCTGGAGCGCGGTTTTGTGCTGATGAAGCGGTGGAGGAGGGCTTAAGTGAAACAATATTGCAGTGGCTGTGAGGTTTGCTGGTGGTTCGGAGCTCAGAGCGAACCCCAGGGACCCGCCACATCTCCAAATTCTCCTGCAAACCATGGAAATCGCCAGTGCAGCTCCCGGGATAGCAAAACAGGCTTTAAAAAACAACATTAGCCACCCCTGGAGCATGACTGGAGAAGTGCCGGCAGCCAAGTGCTTAATGAAATCCCAGCTCCCAGCTCGCCCGCCGAAACCACGCAAGCTTCCCCAAAGTGTTTGGGATGGAACAAAGTCATCAATCAGTTATTTTAACTCCCAGCTCCGTAAACAGGAGCAAGCCCAGAAACACACAGCAGGGGAAAAATAACCGTCAGCTCCTTGGGAGAGGGCACGGGGAGTGGGGACAGGGGCAGGCGGCGGGGAACTGAGCACAGCCTGGGCCCCCATAGGGCATTTTGTGGACCACATAGCCTGTAAATCCCATGCATAGCCCCAAAGGCAGCTCCACCACCCCTCTGCCCTCTCGGCATGGTGCAGTTGGCTTTTGGTGCCGGTCACTCTGTCAATGCCACATTGGAAAGGATGGGAGGCACAAATAGCCAGGATGAGCATCAGTGGCTGGTTTTCCTCTGGAATTATTGGAGGGACACAACAAGGGCAATGAGATAGACAATCATGAGGGAGTGTGGAAAGGGAGATGCTGCTGCACCATCTGCTGTCACACTCACCTTGCCCCAGCTTCGGCACTGGGGAGAGGAAAGCATTACGCATAGTGGTGCTCATGTAAATGCATTATAGCCTTGTAATCATGCATCCACGATTGTCATAAAATAATGGAAAAATCCCAAAATGGTTTTTTAACCAGGGTCCCCAGGTTAATCTGGGAGGGGAATGAGTCCAAGGTGCTGCGGCTCTGCTGCACCACTGCTTTGAGTGGGAAACACCAACCTTGGAGAGCTGAACCCCCAGGTGATGGCCAAAACAAGAGCAGATTGGTCTGGGATGCATCCTTTCCCACTGGCAACGGGGGCTACAGCCATCGTGGGTGGACAGAAAGGAGCTGGTGCTCAGCGCTGGAAACATCTGGGGCTCTTCTTGTGCTGCTCCATCCGACATCAGCCGTGTGCCAGAGCTGCAGTGAGGGATGGCCACGCCAAGAGAGATTGAGCAACCAGACTTTTCTAGACACGCGGGTTTGCATGAACTCACGTGTCCCTGCTCCTGAAGCCATCAATGTGTCTCCTGAGCTTGTCTTGCAGGAGCTGTGCTGGAGAGGAGACACCCGTGCTAAGATGGAGATGCCCATGCTAAGGAGGCTGCAAAATCCTGTGCAGAAACACCTGCAGCTGTGCTGGGCTGGAGCTATCACCTGGTTTCCATAACATAAATAACATTTTTTTTGCAGAACAGCCCATTTCCTTACACCGCAGTGGGACCCACAGACATCAATGCCAGCGTGTGCCAAGCATCCGGTGGGACGGGACCGGACCTGCCTGCAGAGGCACCGGTGCTGTGCCAGGGACGGGATGGCCGCAGCAGGAGGTGGATGCCATCCGGGAAGATGAATCCCTTGCTCTCAATCTCAGCACCTTCCCCACATCTTGTCCTCACCACAGCAGGGAAACGCGGCCGAGCTCTGTGTTTATCTCACAGGTCTGGGGCCTCCAGCTCAATGGATGCTCCTTGCCCACCGGATAAATATCCTGCCATTTTTTGGCACATCTCGGGTGTTTTTGCCTTTTCTCTCATAAACATAAACAGGAGCCGGTGCTGGCCACTGCCAATTATTTTTTATGTGACACCTTGATCGATGTTCCTCTTGCACCGCTCCCTCTGGCAGCAGAATGGGTGAGGATTACTGAGGCAGCCCAGGACATCGCTGGCACATCCCGCTCACCGCTGGCCGCCCTGACGCCCATCCCCAGCCTTTGGGGTTGGCTTCTGCCATGTAAAGCACACGCTTTCACACCAGGCTCCAGTAGCAAACCAGCAGCATGGCCCCATGGCGCCTAGGCTGCATGAACACATACCCAGGGTGTCCAAATCATGCACCCCATCATTTATCCCATGTCCTTGCATCCCCACAACATCCTCATTTGTCCCCACACAGCTGAGCCCTGCCCCACACCTGTGATACATGGGAACTCCACAGGCAACATTGGGTGGGCACTGCATTTGTCCCAGACTGGGCAAGACCAAGAAAAGCATCCCCAAAACTCACTGCACCGCATACCTGTACGCTGTATCTCCATCTTCAATGCTCAGCAGCATCTATTTTGAAGCCAGGCCTAGAATGAAACCCTAAGAGTGATAGTGCTGTGCTGGGATGCAGTGCTCACACCAGGACGTGGTACTCACACCAGGATGCGGTACCCACACCGGGATGGGATACCCTTACTGGATGCAGTACCCACACCAGGATGTGGTACCCATACTGGATGCAGTACCCACACCGGGATGTGGTACCCACACCGGGATGTGATACCCATACTGGATGCAGTACCCACACCGGGATGCGGTACCCACACCAGGATGTGATACCCATCCTGGATGA